ACTTTGGTCACAGAGGAAACCTCAGTGGTCAAGGTGGCTGTCGTGGCGGCCGTGGTGGCGGTGGGGGTGGCTATAATGGATTTGGTAATGATGGTGGTTATGGAGGAGGCGGCCCTAGTCACTCTGGAGGAAGCAGAGGCTATGGAAGTGGTGGACAGGGTTATGGAAAGCAGGGCAGTGGCGATGGCGGGAGTGGCCGCTATGACAGCTATAACAGTGGAGGAGGTGGAGGAGGTGGAGGCGGCTTTGGCGGTGGACTGAAGGGTCCTGGGTCCCGGGAGGTGGAAGCAATGCTGGAGGTGGCGGAAGCTACAATGATTTTGGCAATCACAACCATCAATCTTCAAATGCTGGGCCTATGAAAGGAGGAAACTTTGGCGGCCCTTGTGGTGGTGGAGGTCAATACTTTGCCAAACCACGAAACCAAGGTGGCTGTGGCGGTTCCAGCAGCAGCTGTAGCTATGGCAGGGGCGGAAGGTTTTAATTACTGCCAGGAAACAACGCTTAGCAGGAGAGGGGAGCCAGAGACGTGGCAGGGAAGCTACCGGTTACCACAGACGTGTGAACTCAGCCAGGCACAGTGGCGGCAGGGCTGGGCTGCTACCAAGAAGTCATGTGTTAGACCATACTCGGGTGGACGGGCAAGGAAACCTGGAGGGCTGTGTCTGTGACTAATTGTGTAACAGGTTATTTTAGTTTCTGTTCTGTGGAAACTGGAAAGCATTCCAATAAGGGGTTTTAATGGAGATTTTATTTTTTCTTTTGCACCCGTGCTATTGATTGCTAAATGTAATAGTCTGATCTCGACACTGAATAAATGTGTCTTTACAAAAATAAAAAATAAATAAAACATAAAACCCTCAGGACAGCCGAAACCGGTTTGGCTCAGTGGATAGAGCGTCGGCCTGCAGACTGAAAGGTCCCGGGTTCGATTCCGGTCAAGGGCATGTACCTGGGTTGCGGGCACATCCCCAGTAGGGGTTGTGCAAGAGGCAGCTGATCGATGTTTCTCTCTCATCAATGTTTCTAACTCTCTATCTCTCTCCCTTCCTCTCTGTGAAAAATCAATAAAATATATTTTTAAAAAAAAGAATTTTAATAAAAAAAAAAAAAACCCTCAGGACAAAGGACGTTAGTGTGCGTTCTTCCTTGAGCACCCCGGCCCCTTTCCTCCGGAGCACACTGTCAATTTCTTTATCCTAAACGTTAAGGTCGGACAAGATTTGCTACCAGGGGAGCAGTAGGCGGCTGCAGCTCATCCCAGGCTTACCCTGATCTTTCTCCAAGGGCCCTCCTTCTGTCTCCCTGATCTAAGTTTTAATAAACTTACTCTCACTTTCACCTGGACTCATGTCTTGAAATTTTTTTTTTAAAATATATTTTATTGATTTTCCACAGAGAGGAAGGGAGAGGGACAGAGAGTTAGAAACATCGATGAGAGAGAAACATCGATCAGCTGCCTCCTGCACACTCCCCACCGGTTATGCGCCCGCAACCAAGGCACATGCCCCCGACCAGAATCAAACCTGGGACCCTTGAGTCTGCAGGCCGACGCTCTATCCACTGAGCCAAACTGGCTAGGGCTGTCTTGAAATTTTTTTTTTGCTCGAGTCAAGAACCTGCACATCCCAAACTGTGCCGGGGCACACCGCCTCAGCGTGGTCCCGTTGAGGTGACACTCTTTGGTTCAGGGGCAGATCTGGCTCAGCTCGGTCCGGTTCCAGGGACAGTATGACCATTTGGCTGCCATCTTTGCTCCCTCCGTTGGCCTGGAGGACATTATAGCACCCGTGGGAGCCCTAACTTCATTCACCCAGCAAGTTTTATTTAAAAATATTTTTAAATTTTATTGATTTGAGAGAGAGAGAATAGGGGAGAGAGGAAAAAAATATTGATTTGCACTAACTTATGCATTCATTAGTTGCTTCTTGTATGTGCCCTGACCAGGGATTAAACCTGCATCCTTGGTGTATAGGTACAACTAACCACCTGAGCTACCTGGCCAGGGCTCCCCCAGCAACCTTTATTTTAGTTTTATTTTTAAAATATGTTTTTATTGATTTCAGAGAGAAAGGGAGAGAGAGAAAGATAGAGAAACATCAGTGATAAGAGAGAATCATTGATCGGCTGCCTCCTGCATGCCCCCTACTGGGAATTGAGCCCGCAACTAGGGCATGTGCCCTGACTGGGAATGGAACCATGACCTCCTGGTTCATAGGTTGATGCTTAACCATTGAGCCACACCTGGCCAGGCAGATCATGGGGCCCTTGATGGAAGAAATAGTTGCTACTCATTTGGGGAATCCTTATATTTTCTTTTTTAAAATTTTTATTTATTGGTTTTAGGGGGGGAATAAGAGAGAGAGAGAGAGAGAGAGAGAGAGAGAGAGAGAGAGAAAGCAAATTTTTGTTGTTCCACTTGTTGATGCATTCATTGGTTGATTCTTATGTGTGCCCTGACCAAGGACTGAACCCCCAACCTTGGCATATCTGGACCATGCTCTAACCAACTGATTCATTATCTTAATCTGTATTTTCTCTTGCATGTGTCTATATTGTTGCTATGGTATCTGCCTCCAGTGCAGTGACATAGCTGCTAAATGAGCCACGTCCGTGCTAGTGAAACCCCTTGCTGACCACTCAGGGCACACTGCAGAAGATGGGGAACGAGTAAGATGCTAAGAGATGGTCACAAGGGGTGAAATGCTGGAGAAGAGGACATGATGGCCAGGTGACCTTTGAGGTGGGCCAAGGTCATCAGAGGCTCCCTTCCCCTCCTGCCTTGGGCTGTACTCCCTGCCCACTTTTTTTCAAAGTAGGAGCCACTTCAATGCACAAACTTGAGAGAGTAATGTGTTGTTGAGACCAGCTGGATGGTACACGTGACTGAACCCAGATAAGGTCTCTGTATAAACTTTTAAGATTCTGGCACGCGGTGTGTTGATCTACTCATCCTACAGCGTGAAAGACAAGCCTCAGGTGTATTCCCTTGCCTATTAAACTGCCAATTAACAACTGGAGTGGTCCGCCTCGTTCAGCCATCTCTACTTGTCCTCTGTGTATGTGGGCCAGTTTCAGATTTCACCTGGGGAACTTCTGATGTTTGGAACCAAAGTTCTTCCTAACGCAGTGAGACTGTGGATGAAAAGGGGCCACATGCTAACCTGACTAGCTCAGGGAAGGCCTGCATTGGGCCTTGCAAACTCAGAGGCCTAAAGTAATCACAAAGAATGATCTGAAATTAAAATTTTAACTAAAAGCAGTTTATGGTAGGTAGTCATATCCTAGGCAGGTATCTTCCCTGACACAAGTTAATCTTTACCTTAACTGAGCCTGACTATTGTCTTTTTGCATCTATGATAACATACCATTAGAATGTCAAAATAGCCCTGCTGGTATGGCTCAGTGGTTGAGCGTCAACCTATGAACCAGGAGGTCATGGTTCGATTCTAGGTCAGGGTTCGGTTCTAGGTCAGGGTACATGCCAGGTTTCGGGCTCAATCCCCAGTGTAGGGTGTGCAGGAGGCAGCCAATCTATAATTCTCTCTCACCATTGATGTTTCTATCTCTCTTTCCCTCTCTCTCCCTATCTGAAATAAAAATATATTTTTAAAAAAAAGGATGTCAAAGTAATTTTCTTTTCTCCAGACCCCTCAAAGCACAGGCACTGCTCTGCGGAGACCACAAATCCGCTCATTGTTATTGTTGGCAGTTAACTATCCTGCACTCACCTAAGTAAAACAAGTGTGTGTCTATTATTTTGCTTTTTATCTAGTACCAGAGGTTTCCCCCGCTTTGCCTTCTCCCGCATCCCTAATCTATCACCAATGGATTTCATGTAACACATTTATGTCTTCTCTTTTGATTGTAATGTATAAAACAAGGTGCAAAATTGCCATTTCCCCAGAGCACCATCTCTATCCTTTGAGATGTTGCCTCCAAGCATTTGTCAACAGCTTGGCTCAAATAAACTCACAAAAAAAATTCTTCATTGACAGGACTAATGGGGTACTTCAATGGGAACCCATGGTTTGTTCACTCCTGTATCTCATTGTTGGTTCATCTTTCCCAGGATGTTTCTTATGGGCATTGACTTTCGAGTTTCATATAATTTTCACGTGTTAATAAATATTCTTCTTCTTTTGATTTCTTGCCCCAACATTTACAAATATAAAAAGCCATTCTTGCCCTGGCCAGGTAGCTCAGTTGGTTGGAGTGTTATCCCAATATGCCAAGGTTATGGGTTTTTTTCCATGGTCAGGGCACATACAAGAATCACCTAATGAATGCATAAATAAGTGGAACAACCAATTGATGTCATTCTCTCTCTCTCTAAAACAAAACAAAAAAACAAACTTCTGTGCTTAAAAAACACACATTCTTAGCTCACACAGATCATACAAAAACAGGTAGTGGGCCAAGCCATGATACCGTAAATATAGAAGAGTAGGTTACATTATGTCCCTAATTTTCCATAGTCCGCCTCTGAAGGGTGTAAAAACATGTTTCCATATTAAATACGTTTAAATCTCATTTTAAACAATTCATTGTATCTGTGAACAAGTCCTCAAATTATACCAAGTTTTCATGGCTTATGGTTGTTCGTACTTTTCGTTAAACGAATTGCTGCATAACCCATGAAAGTTTCCTTTGATATGATTTCCCAGAACTAGATTTGTGGGTTTTTCCTATTTTTCCCTTAAATTTCCCGGGAAACTGAAACCTAATCGCTGCAGCTGCTGATAACGCAAGGCCTTCGGGGGAACGTAGTTCTGGCTTGCAGCGAGTGAGTCTTCTGGCGCTGAGCCGGGACATTTCCAGCGGAAGTTGCTGGGCGTGAGAAGGAAGGAGAAGACGGTTTTCCGCAAACGTATTTGCTCACGGGCGCACCTGGGCGACGCCTGGGGGCCGTGGCTCCGCGTCCCCATGCGATTGGCCTGCGGCTTTCCGAGCACGCGCAAACGGCGCTTTACAGGCCCCGCCAGCGCAAGGCCGTCTGGGAGTTGTAGTTCTGACCCCTTCCCGAACTCTGTGGCCGGGCGGCGGCTCCGAAATCCGAGGCGGTCCACCACCTTTGGCTAGAAGGATGGATCCGGGGCCTGACGCGGTGCCTCTGGCTGGCCTGGCCTGGTCGTCGGCCTCGGCGCCCCCGCCGCGGGGATTCAGCGCGGTGAGCGGCACCGGGGGGCAGGGGTTGAACGGGGGCACCGGAGGCTGCGGCTGGACAGGCGCCTGGCGCTGACCCACGTCCCGCCGTAGATCTCCTGCACCGTGGAGGGGGCGCCCGCCAGCTTCGGCAAGAGCTTCGCGCAGAAATCTGGCTACTTCCTGTGCCTCAGTACCCTGGGCGGTCTGGAGGTAAGAGGCGCCCACCTCCAGGAACCCCGGGGTCCGCCCACTCCCCGGTCCATTCCCGGGGCCCTGCGCCAGGCGCGCCGTCCCCGCTGCTCCGTGACTCGCTGTGTTCTCCCCACTCGACCCCCAGAATCCGCAGGAGAACGTGGTGGCCGATATCCAAGTCCTGGTGGACAAGAGCCCCCTCCCGCCGGGCTTCTCCCCGGTCTGCGACCCCCTGGACTCCAGTAAGGCTCGCGTCGGAGGCTGGGGGTGGGGAGTGCGTCCGCGTCCCTGCAAGGGGGACCCGGGAGAGGGATGGAGGGTGACGGGCGCGATTTCTGAGCCTCGGCAACCCCCTGACGCACTGGCTGCTGAAGGGTTGGCCGAGGACTCGGAGCTGTTCCTGGGCGGGGTGGCGGGCCCTACCCTGCTTAAAAATGTGCAATTGGCACAGTCGCTCTTGGAGTAACAACAGAGACCTGTTTTGTAATTGTTACTACCACATCTCCTACACCGCAGCCAAGCTGAACCACGCGCAGTTCTTTTATTTATTTATTTTTTTTACAGAGAGGAAGGGAGAGGGATAGTTAGAAACATCGATGAGAGAAAAACATTTATCAGCTGCCTCTTGCACACCCCCTACTGGGCATGTGCCCGCAACCAAGGTGCATGCCCTTGACCGGAATCGAACCTGGGACCCTTCAGTCCGCAGGCTGACGCTCTATCCACTGAGCCAAACCGATTAGGGCGCTCGGTTCTTTTTTTAAATTTTTTAAAAATTGATTTTAGAGAGGGAGAGAGGGATGGAAACATCAATGATGAGAAAGGATCATCCATGGGCTGCCTCCTGCACGCCCCCTACTGGGGATCGAGTGTGCAACCGGGGCATGTGCCCTGACCTGGAATCCAACCGTGATGTCCTGGTTCCGGGATCCATGCTCAACCACTGAGCCACACCAACCAGGCGCAGTTCTCTTCTTTCATTTCCAGGCTTTTGCACACTCTGACTCCTCTCCGGGTTAGCTGATACTTCGCCCTCCGCACCCCTCCGCTTCTTGCCCTGACGGCCCTACTTTCTAACCATCTGGCTTTCCCCGCCTCCCACCGTGTCTTGCCATTCGTATTTGATTTTTAGGGTCTACCAGTGGTTCTCAACCTTCTGGCCCTTTAAATACAGTTCCTCATGTTGTGACCCAACCATAAAATTATTTTCGTTGCTACTTCATAACTGTAATGTTGCTACTGTTATGAATCGTAATGTAAATATCTGATATGCAGGATGGTCTCAGGGGACCCCTGTGAAAGGGTCGTTTGACCGCCAAAGGGGTCGGGACCCACAGGTTGAGAACCGCTGGGGTATACCTATTGATACTGGAGTTAGCAAACTTTTTCTGTAAAGGGCCACATAGTAAATATTTTAGGCTTTGCAAGCCAGGTGATGTCTGCTGCATACTCTCTCACCCCACCCCCTTTAACAATGAAAAACCATTTTTAGGGAAACATTTGTTGGGTGGGATTTGCCTCATGGGCACTCAGTTCTGTCTGATTCCATAGCTACCCATCCTCACAGTGGTGCACATGGCCACCCTGTGAATGCTCCTGCCTGTCACCAGAGAGGAGCCTGCCCCAAAGGCTCCTAGAGGCTGCATGGGGTTCTCTCCTGTGGCTCCATCATTCACGGTTTAACCAGAGAGATTAACACCATCCGGTGACTGCCTTAAACAGTGCCTTGGCGACTGTCGTCTTGGAGCCATCTTTGGGTCCCTTCCCTGCTTTTCCCTCTTCTCACTCCCCCACCCTCCCAGAGGCCTCTGTGTCTAAGAAGAAGCGCATGTGTATGAAGTTGGTGCCCCTGGGAGCTGCGGACACAGCTGTGTTTGATATCCGGCTGAGCGGGAAGACCAAGACGGTGCCTGGATACCTTCGAATAGGGTAGGACGTTTTTCCCCCGCTTCAAACTATAAGAGAAAGTTTATTTAGAAAGTTAGAGAGGTTGTAGAAGGGCCCTTGGAATTTAGGAGAGGGAAAAGCAGAGGCAACACACCTGGGGAAAGAAGAGGGTGAGGGGGAAAGTTCGGGCTTCCCCCCAGCTTTTGGCCTCCTTCCTTGCCCCCCAACTCCCATGTGTACGCTCTGATCCTCAGAGGCTCTCCTGAGGCCTCCATCCCTTCGGCCACCTCTCTGTGCCTCAGTTTCCACATTTAACAAGGGACAGTTGTGGGGTCGTCATGAGGGATAAACGGGTTGGTGTGTCTGAAGTCCACAGGACAGTGGTGGGCCCCAGCAGTTGCTTAAGATGTGGGCTGAGATGCTGAAAGGAAAAGTCCCCAAAAAGCAGGGGCCACGCAGAGATCCGGGTTCCTCCTTTCTCCTCCTGGCCGCTGTTCTCAGCCCTGGCTCTGCCTTGGGTCAGAACACCCCTCTCCCTCCCTCCCCATCCAGGGACATGGGTGGCTTTGCCATCTGGTGCAAGAAGGCAAAGGCCCCTCGGCCAGTGCCCAAGCCCCGAGCTCTCAGCCGGGACATGCAGGGCCTGTCCTTGGACCAACCCAGCCAGCCCAGGTGAGTCCTTGGGCTCGGGGGTGGGGGCGGGAATGGGGGTGGGGGGATCGTCAGGTCTGACCGGGGCTGTCCCATCACCACCAGCAAGGGCGGCTTCCCAGAGGGGACATTGTCGAGACTGGGTTCCAGGGCCTCCACCCTGCGGAGGAGTGACTCCATCTACGAGGCCTCCAACCTCTATGGCATCTCAGGTGAGTGCAGAGCGGGGCAGCAGGGATTTGGGGTTGAGGTTGGGTGCGACTGGCCAAAGGTTTAGACAGCCCAGAAGGGGCGTGGCCACGGTTGGAACCAGGCCTGGCCCCACCCCATTCCGTAAAGACTGGCAGGGCCTCCGCCCTGGCCCGTGTGGTTCAGTTGGTTGGCGCGTCCTCCCTTACAACAAAAGGTTTGGGGTTCAATTCCCAGTCGGGCACATACCTAGGTTGCGGCTTCCATGCCCAGTTGGGGTGTGTACAGAAGGCAACTGGTGGATATTTCTCTCTCACATGAATGTTTCTCTCTCTCTTTCCCTCCCTTCCTCTCTCTAAAATCAGTAAACATATCCTCTGGTGAGGATTAAAAATAAAACTGGTCAGGGGGAAGGGAGCGTGCCGGGTGGGCTCTGGGGTGGGCAGCAGCCAGACCCAAGTTCCCTGCCCCTCAGTTCCTTACTCCTCACCCCGTGCTTTCCTCAGCCATGGACGGGGTTCCCTTCACGCTGCACCCCCGATTCGAAGGCAAGAGCTGCGGCCCTCTGGTGAGTCTGCCCTGGGGAACTTGGGTCTGCCCCTGCCCATCGCCTTTCTAGACAGGGACACGGGGACCTTCATCCAGGCCCCGGCCCCCAGCACTGAGGCCCAAGTTTCTGGGTTGGGGGAGGCTGGAGGCCAAGCGGTGGGGCTGGAGGGCACCAGTCCGGAGTGGGGGAGTCCCGAGGGCAGCTGGATGCTGGTGGCCAGAGGCTGTGGCAGGAAGAGGGAGGGGATGTCCAGGCAGATATTGAGAGAGGCTCGAAGATGAGGGGATGGGGTTCCAGGTAGGGGTCTGGGTCCAAGACTGACCCGCCCCTGCCCACCAGGCCTTCTCTGCCTTTGCTGATCTGACCATCAAGTCGCTGGCAGACATTGAGGAGGAGGTAGGTGCTGGGGCGGGGAGGAAAGGCAGGGGTGCTGGGACCCTCCCCCACGCCAGGTCTCCCCCAGCTGCACCCCACCTCTCCAGGGCTGGAGATCACCTAGTCCCTCAGTGGCTCTCCCCCCCGCCCCCCATGCCTCACAGCACCCTCCACGGCCCCTCCCTCACTCTGTGCTCTTCCTCCCCCCTCAGTACAACTACGGCTTCGTGGTGGAGAAAACAGCAGCTGCACGCCTGCCCCCCAGCGTGTCATAGCCCCTTCCTGTTCCAGGGAAGAGGCCCCTGCCCCACACCCCCAGGACTGGCAGCTGCCCCACCCTAGCTCATGTTGGGGACCTTGGCAGCACAGGCCATTCTGGACCCTCAGCCCCATGGGGAGCGCTAGCCCGATGGGGGTGGACCTGGCTGCTGGATGGGGTCTCCTGCCCCAGGCCCCGTAGGGCAGAGGTGGGGCTCGATGGAAACTGGTGCCTTCACGTCATTTGTGTCAAGACTCTCTGGTGCCCGGAGGCCACAGGCTGTCTGTCCTCTGGGCAATAAACACTATGCCGCCTGCCGCCTGGAGTCCTGATCCTGGCCCTGAGCGTGGCTCGTGGTCTTCACCGTGTGCCAGCCGGACAGCCGTGACCCCGCAAGCGGGGAAATCCGGGGAGGTGGCCCCGCTGCTCCTCCTGTTCCGCAGATGGAAACTGAGGCCCAGGAGTCTAGGTCACGAGGAAGACCCAGTCCTGCTCCTCTGTCCTTGCGCACAGTAATGTCGTGGTAACAGCTGCCATGTATCTCGGGGACCACTTCGCAAGGCCTTAGACAGGTGTCTCATTTAATCCCGTCACAGCCGGTGGGAAGCCCCTGTGCTGTCACCATTTTACAGATGGTGACACTGAGGCAGCGGACAGCTCTGATCACAGCTGGGCTTAGACCCAGAGCCTGCTCTCCACCAGAAAGCTGTCTGCGCATCCTTTTCCCTCCGCTGAGCTATGGCTACAATGGTCGACCCTCACTATTCGCAGTCATTCCATTTTATACTAAAGTTGCGGAGAAAACGGAATGAGTGAATCTTGGGCTCCTCAGGAAAATGGGTGGGTTTCTAGGAGTAGCTGTGGTCACATTTTTGTCAAGTGGTTGATACTTGATTATTACACGGATACTGCTGCATCGTTAACGCTGAACTCGCTGCCAACAGCAGTGTAACTCACACCTGAACACAGCTCACCTCACACATACCTTCTCTGATAGTACCAGGCAGCCTGCTGGAGCTTAGGGACACCAGACAGCACTTCGGCACCACGCGTGGGGGCCTTTTTAAACGGCGAAATGCCAAGAGAAAGCACAGAAATGGGGAAAGCAGACCGCAGAAAAGACTCGTTTACAGTCTGAGCTGGAACAGGAGGCAGGGTGTCACCCTGCTCCGCCTCCGGGACTCGGATTGTGCCCTGCCCTGCACGTGTCCTCCAGGGACCAGGAGAGCACCAAGAGCATTTTGATTTGGGGGTTTGCAAATACGTTGTAGCCGGCAGGAGCATGTGCAAACGTGGAGTCACAAACAATGCGGGTGGGCGGTGTTGGTGAGATTCCTGCCCCAGGCTCCTGTCACGTGTCTGCCCCTCCCCTCTGCTCTCCCCACATCCCTGCAGCATCAGTAAAGCCCCCAGGTCTCTGGCTCAGGGGCTAAGGGTTATTTCTCATCCACACCCGTGCCCGGGGCGGTGAAGCAGCAGGCTCTGCGGGTCGGGTCGTAGTTGTGGAAATCCAGGTGAAGGGGCAGCCACCATCTCCTGACGGGGCGGGGGCGGGACACTCAGAAAAGTCTGGCGCTGTCAGTTAAATGGCCGAGCTAGGAAGTTCCTTGTTCAAGTTCAAGTCACAGCTCATTGGCCAGAATGAGTCCCATGGGGCCTAAAGGGACAAACCACCCAACCGTACCCTTATGTCTAACAACACGACCCCAGGGGCCTGAGGGAAGAGGGTTCCCTGCTCTGGGGTCTGAGGGGGAGGGCGAGCCCTGTTCTGGGGTCTGAGGGGGGAGGGCGAGCCCTGTTCTGGGGTCTGAGGGGGGAGGGCGAACCCTGCTCTGGGGTCTGGGGGGGAGGGTGAGCCCTGCTCTGGGGTCTGGGGGGGAGGGTGAGCCCTGTTCTGGGGTCTGGGGGGGAGGGTGAGCCCTGTTCTGGGGTCTGGTGGGGAGGGCGAGCCCCTGTTCTGGGGTCTGGGGGGAGGAGGGCGAGCCCCTGCCCTGGGGTCTAATGGGGAAGACAGCTGTCTTGGAGGGTGGGGGGAAACCATGCACAAGGTACGGCCTCCCCCACACACTCAGCTGCCCTGAGAGAACTAGGCCTCCAGTGCTGAGCTATCTCCCCATCTCCCCTGTGGGCTCTGCCGGCCCCTGCCAGGTCCCGCCCAGGCTGCTCTGGCGCCGGCCTGGGAATTCAATCTGGCTGGAAAGCAAAGGTTGTTTGTTTTCCCTGGTTGCCTTCTCAGCTACCCCGAAACCATCCCTGGATCACTTTCCAGGGCAGCCGGGTGTGATCGGGGCCCTTGGATGACCTGTGCTGGCCTTGGTCTAACTGGGCCAGCTGTCATATGACCCTGCAAAATCCCAACCCTCTGTGCCCTGCTGGGCCCGGCCCCTCACAGCATCCGGGAGGGCCCAGGGCCACATCAATCCGAACAGCCCCAGGCACCCTGACTGGCTTGGCTCCGGGGATGGAGCTTCGGCCTGCGGACTGAAGGGTCCTGGATTTGATTCGGTCAAGGGCACATGCCCAGGTTGCGGGCTCGGTCCCCAGTAGGGGGCGTGCAGGAGGCAGCCGATCAATGATTGTCATCATTGATGTTTCTGTCTCTCCCTCTCTGAAATCAATAAAAATATACCTTAAAAATAAAATAAAAAATGTCAAACAGCCCCAGGCTGAGCTGACATCATCTTGGGCTACCAAGGGAACGAAGCCTTACCTATTCCTGCCTTTTGCTCGCTCCTGGGCGCTGAGAGCCAGGCATCACCGGAACCCGGGTACCCAGAGGGATGAGGGACCTTTTGGAGAGACACGTCCCAGCTCCACTGCTTGCCAGCTGGTGGCCCTGAGCAGTAACTTGACCTCTACACTCCCAGAACATTTCATCACCCCAAAAGGAGGCCCAGCAGCCACTCCCAGCTCCTGGCAGCCCCTGGCCTGCTTTCCGTCTCTGGATTTGCCTGTTTAGGACATTTCATAGAGATGGAATCACAATATGTGGCCCTTCATGTCTGGCTGCTCTTACTCAGTGTGCTGTGTCCAGGGTTCAACCGTGTTGCAGCGGGCGTTAGTGCTTCATTCCTTTTGATGGCTGAGCGATAGTCCACTGTGCAGATGGACCACGTTTTGTTCATCCATTCATCAGTTTGTGGACCTTTGGTGATTGTCACTAGTACTGCTGTGAACATGCATGTGCAAGGACTTGTTTGAACACCTGTTTTCAATCCTTTTCGGCCTCCTTACATGTTGTACTCCCACCCTAGTCCTGGCTATGAGGCGAGGGGCCCAGCTTCTAGCTCCCCTGACCAGTCCCGGAGTGAGGCCCTCTGCACCGGCAGCCAGCCGGTCCTTCTTGTTCTCTCTCCTGCATCCTGAGTCCCCAAGGCCTGCCCCATTCCAGGGAGTTTTAGAAACTGGAGTCCCCGGTATCCTTAGGAACCTGTGCTGTCCTGGATCCCGCTGTGATGGGGTTCCAGCCATTGCTGCTGGGTGGCCTCACTTCTCGGGCCTCAGTTTCCCCATCTGTGAGTAGGGTTGTCCTGAAGATGAACTGAGGACAGGAAAGCACCTGGCCCATAACATTTATTCTCATCTTATCCTCTTTGTTGATATCCATCATGCTCCCCAAGAGCCCACGCTCACTGGGCATGCTCACGTACATGGTCTCCTGACCCCACGCCAGGTGCGGAGGAAGTCTGTGCAGCTTCCCAGGGACCCAGGGAGGAGAGGCCAAGGCTGGTGGGACACCCAGGTCTGTGATCAGCTGGGTCCCTACCCAGGGTCAGGCTTGGGGTCCAGCCATCCTGCTGGGTGCTGCCCCTTCTCTGCCCATTGGGAAGAGTCCTAAGGGGGTTTCCTTTGCTGTGGCTGAGCCTCCTCTGCTCCTTGGGCCCGGGAGTCCTCACGTGGCTCAGGAAGGGACAGGCTGGAAAATTCCTGGGACATCTGCACATTGGGGTAGGGGTGGGGGGTCAGACCACCCCCACTCCTGGTGAAATTTGTATGTTTGAAGGTTTGTGGGAGACAGTTCCCAGGGCAAACCCCGTCTCCCATTCCTGCCCTCCCCACCCTCACTCCTGCCACCCCACTCCTTACCCCAAGCCCGGGCTTGGCCACAGCACATTCAGGTGTGGCTCAAGTGACGTGGAGATAGTGCGGGCCAGAGTTTATTTGCAGGATGGGAGCGGGGCCAGGGCCTCTGGAGACTCCTGGGACTGAGTTATCCACTCCAAGCCCTGCCAGTTCCACGAGCCCCAGAACCTGGCCATCAACCCATCTTTCTCAGCCACCAGGTGCCCCAACTGACAGCAGCACCGGCTGCCATACATTGACAACCTACTGTGCACAGGCCCCCGGAATGGCTTCCACGGAGTCTCATGGGAGCCCTAGGCAGAGGGATCGATTCTGTCCCCATGTTACAGACAAGGAAACTGAGACACGGAGTGGTGAAGCCCTCACCACGGACCCACAGCCAGGAGTCTGGGTGCAGCCCTGCAGGGCTGCTGTGGCCCTGGGCTTCTCTGAGCTCTGCACACGCAGGTTTCAAATGCTCACAGACTGGAAGGAGTCGCAGAGACTTGCACTGTCAGCAGCATGGGGGTTACAGGACCTGGCTCTGATGCTCAGTACTGGCCGGGGGACCCGTGGTGAGTCACTGCCCCTCTCTGGGCCTCCGTTTCCTCATCTGTAAAATGGACGGAGACATTTAGAGAACCACTGCCTAAGCCCCACCCGCCCCTCCTGCCTATCCCAGAACCTCATTGTCTGCGTCGCTACATTTCCCAGTCTCCCCTGCAGCAAGTTGTGGCCATGTCCTGATCAGTGTGAAATAAGCAGAAAGGTCCCAAGGCCTCCCAGGAAGACTTTGGAAAGATGCTGAGCCAGCCCTGGCCTCTGCCTTTCTCTCTGAATGAGGATGTGAAGGCTGGAGCCCTGGCAGCCATTTTGTGCCATGAGGCAACTTTGAGGGCAAAAGCCAGAGATGCTACGAACTGAAAGAGAAACCACGCTGTACTGCTACTGTGACCGATCTCTGCAGACTGCTCTTTCTGCTGCCTGACACCAGCTCTCTGTCCCTGACCCCTGAGCTCACACCAGTGTGGAATCTTTCCCCAACCCCCCTGGCCTGTGTCCCAGCATGCTGCGCATCTCATGGGTGACCCCTTCCCAGTGCCCCCCACTGACCAACAGTGTCCGGTGCATGCAGGATGCAGACAGGCTGCTCTCCCGGACACCCCCCACAGATGCAGGCATGGAGGCAGTGGCTGAGGGTCTGAGGGGGTCCCCAGGTTCTGGGCAGAATGAGTAGGGGATTTGGTGGTGGGTACCCTGCTGGGGCGGAGCCCTGGGGCTGGCCTTGGAGACTTCAGCGGAGCGGGCAGGGTCATCTTCGAAGTGCGGTGGGGACAGCTCACGGAGACCCCGGCGGGTGGCCTGGGCAGCCCGGAGCAGCGCGTGGGTCAGCACGGCCACCAGGGCCACGGCGCCCAAGCCGAGGATGGAGGCGGCTGCTGCTCCCGCCTCGATCTCGAATAGCAGCAGAGCATAGATGGATAGTCCTGAGGAAGGAAATGTTTCTCATTTACTCAGTCTACAAACATGTGCTCCCCAAGCCCCGGGAGAGCTTCCCACAGAGGGGCAGTCATTCAAAACCGTCCAACACGGTAGGCACGTGGATCAACTGGTCGATCCTCTCACAGCCCACAAATATATCATCACGACGTCAATTTTACTATAAAAGGGTGAATTTCGTTATGTGCACTTCACCACAATTAAAACAACCCAGATCTCGGGTTTTCTGAATCCCCGTCATTGGCCTTCAGTGAATCGTGGCTCCTCTCCGGCCTTGGTTTGCTAATCTGAACAAGACAGTTGGTGACCTGGCCTTGAGGGCCTTGCTGGTCCAGCATGCAGTCGGCATCATTCATTTCTGTGGGAACATTTACCAGTGTCTACCCCCTAGATCCCAATAGTACCTTCTCCCACCTGTGTGACAACCAAACATTTCCCCAGATATTGTCAAATATCCCCTGGGGCATAGCCTCAGCCCCCATTGAGAACGGCCAATCCAGTCCCTATGCCCACCCTGGGGGCTGGTCTAGAAGCTCTGACCCACCCCTGTGGCATCAGTGACTACGTGATAGTGCTAGGCGTGGCCAATCAGAGCATTGCTTCCCGTCTTGTAGTGATTGGTGCAGGGCTTTCACGAGGCCCAAGCTCAGCCAATGAGAGTCAGCACTGAGACTTTTGCTTGGGATATGAGAACCCAGAAATTTTCTTACTGCAACCCCTGGGGAACTGGAGAGAGAAGCCGAGGGCTGACAGGATTTCTTGGCACTTTATGGGAGTGTTTTATGCCTTCTTTGGCTCTGTACTCTTGCTTTTGAAGATGACACATTGTATCTGACGTTAAAGTGAGGCCAAGGGTGTTTTTGCTCTAAACAATTGTTTTTCCAAATTATAAGAGAAAGTTTATTTAGAAAGGTACAGCCAGCTGGGCTATGTGGGCTTAGGAAATGAGTTACGGAGGCAAGAGAAGGGCCCTCGGAGCCTAGGAAAAAGAGAGGACTCGCCTGGGGAAGGAGAGGGGGAAAGGCAAAGGCGTGCTCAAGAGAGAGAAAGGGCGTGCGGCTCTGAACATTTCTGAAAAGGTCTTTATAATTATTCTTTTGGCTCTGGTCAGCAATGAATGGAGGATTGACTGGACATACTGGGCAATTCTTGCCAAGTGAGGTCACCTAACCTTAGAAAGAATCTAAATCGGAGCTGAACGAATTCTTAATTTAATGCTTGATGAGACTGACTTGGTTACCTTTTTTTTTTCCCCCTTTGTGAGTTTTCTCATATTTTAAAATGAGGATACTTTAAGTCTCCAACATATTTGCTGGTTCGTGAAAAGACGGGAGGTTGTAGGCATTTTGTTGAAAGCACAGATACAACCATCTTTCTAAGGGGAAGAGGCATTTCTGATGGGCTCATTGGAGCACCTGGATTCAATCACACCTGAGGCCAACAATCCCCTGGTCTTTTCAGATACGCTGGTCACCCCATCCTCTCTCTTTGCTGTTGTTAATCCTCACTCAAGGACATTTTTCCCATTGATTTTTAGAGAGAGTGGAAGGAACGGGGAGAGACAGAGAGAGAAACACCTCATGTCTATTGGTTGCCTCCTGCATGCGCCCCGACCCGGGGCCAGGGATCAAGCCTGCAACCGAGGCATGTGCCCCTGACCATAATCGAACCTGGGACCCTTCAGTCCCAGAGCCGACGCTCTAACCACTGAGAAAACCGGCTAGGGCTCCACTCTCTTTTAAAAAAAGAAGCCATACCTGGGGCATTTTATTAAGTCAAACAACAAAAGTTAAGCAGAGCTCCCTGCACTTTACATACAAATTTCCATAGTGAGCCCTAGGCTCACATCTCATAAATACGTATTTTAATTGTGTCTCCTAAACATTTGTCAAGATTACAACCAAATATAACATGTCAGGAGTCTCTTTAAAGAAACGTGATGATTTGATGCCTTTACCAGGAGGTGTGGGTGAGAACATTGATCTAAGTTATTAAAAGCCAGGGAGGAAAAGAGGGTGATGTGTCCTCTGGCACCCAGCTAATTATTTTTACTCTCCTTTATGTTTGGGGATTTTAAATTGTATTTCTGGTTTATAAAGTATATCTCCCCCCCCCCCCCTTAAGCCATTCTTGAAGTTCTGATATTTGTAAACAAAACAGTTTTTTTGCTAAGGCCAACCTCTGAAACTATCTCCTGAAACTACCAAGGACATAGAAAATTTTGTTCAAAACCAAATGTAGAAAACTGATGAATCAGGAGTGTTCGGAAGACAAGTACCCTTTATGAATCCCCCCCTCCCATCACCCCCCACTGGAGCCAGATGCCATGTGTGGGCTTTTAGGAGGATTAACTCAAAATCCTCTCAGCAATTCTATTAAGCAACAAACTGTTATCATCCCATTGTACTGATGAGGAAACTGAGGCAGAAAGTGTCAGACCCAAGAGTCAAACACAGGCGGGGTGGCTCCAGAGTTGACCCCGGCTATGGGACCATTAACCCTGGCCGTTCCCACCCACGGCCCCCACACCCCACGTCCTGTCCCCCGGCACACACCTGCTAGGTAGACGGAGACCCCACAGCAGAAGAGGCCCACGGCCACATGTCTGAGGAGGCGGCAGTCATAGAAAAACCAGTCAGACCTGGGAAGAGGGGGCAGGAAGAGGGGGCTCTGGAGGTGGAGCTGCTTGGGGAAGGTTGGGGGGGGAGTGGCCCAGCTTTGGGGGAAACAAGATCTGTGTGGGGATCCATCCTGAACACTCATCCATTGTTCCAGGTTAATGTTCACCACCATTTACCATCCAGCCATTCCTGTCGATTATTCAACCATATAGCTCCCCATCCATGTAACCATGCCCTGTGAATTCATCCGTCCACTCATCCATGCATCCATCACCCATGCATTCATTCATCACTTATCAACCCCAAGCCTAACCCCGGTATCTCTGCACTCAGGGCCTAGTGCCCCCTAAATGACCAGAGAGCTAGCCAGCCCCTGGCCCTCTCTGAGCCTCAGTTGGCACATATGTAAAGCGGGTGGTGGTGGGGTCGCAGCAGTGGTTTCACCTGCTATACATTTTCAACTGATAGAATTGAGAGAGAGGCAGGGAGGGAAGGAAGGAGGGAGGGAAGGATACATGGGGGGAGGGAGAGATGATAAAGGGGTGGGGGAAGGAAGGGAAGTTCCCCCCAAACCTGAGGCCCAGAGAGGGGTCGTGGCTCGCCTGGGCTCGCCCAGCCCCGGGGCCGGGCGGCGAGGCCAGTCCTCCTACCTGCCGGGGCCGGGCCCCCTGGCCAGCTCGGCGCCCAGGTGGCCGCAGAGCGCGGCGAGCAGCAGGCAGGTGAGGCTCAGCACCAGCGCCAGCGAGGCGAGCGCGGCGGCCAGCGGCAGCAGTGCTTCGTTTTGCGTCCTCGGGCAGCCCCGGGCCCGCGCCCAGCTCCGGACCCAGCCCGTCGGCTCGCGTCCACCGCAGCTCCGCGCGGCCCGCCTGCAGCTGGAACAGCAGCTGCGCGCCCAGCGCCGCCAGGACGGCCGCCGGGACGCCCAGCAGGATCAGCGCGCCCAGCACCCGGTCGCTGTAGGAGCGGGCCATGGCGCGGGCGGGCGGGGGGCGTCGAGGAGTCAGAGATTTTCGGGGGCAGGGGAGCTGCGGGTGGCGGGGGTCCTGAAGGGGGCGGGGTCGCAGGGGTGCTTGGAAGTTGGGGTGACTTCAGGAGCTTCGGAGTACAGGTCGCAATGAGGACGAGGGAGCTCTGCGAAAACTTGAGACGGTGTTTTCTCCTCCTTTGGAGGACCCTGCGGGCGCCCCCTCCCGGCTTCGGGTGCTGGCGGGGCGGGGCGGGGCCGGCGTGGGGCGGGGCCAATAAGGGGAGGGTGGCCCCCACGAGGGGCAAGGGCGTGGTAGCTCCATCCAGGGACCCCTCGAGGTCTCTAAAGTACCCCCACCGCCGGCCCAAGCACCTGTTTCATTGTTTTTTAAAAGAAACTTGGCCCTGGCCCGGCTCAGCTGGTTGGAGCGTCCTCTGGGACACCAGAGAAGTTGCCTGTTGGATTCGGGTCAGGGCACTTGCCTAGTTCGGGCGTGTGCAATCTCTCTCTCTCTCTCTCTCTCTCTCTCTCTCTCTCTCTCTCTCTCTCTCTCTCTCAATAAAAGCCCCACAAAACCGTTGTCTTCTAAAAGCTGCAGACAGCCTGCACCCTACCGTTAGGTACACTGAATTTAAGAGGCATTATCACCGGGTCCCATGCACAGGTGGCTCACTGAGGTCCGCAAAGGGAAAACTGGCCGGAACCTGCAATAGGCGGCATCACCGACCTGGAGATCGGGGGTTGGGGGTGAGAATGAAAGAAGGCGCGCACTAGTCCAGTCCCCAGGCCTCCCCGGCCCAGAGCAGCGGCGTGTCAACCTGTCCGGAGATCAGGCGCAGGGAAGGGGGTTTACATCTCATTTACCTGTTTGGCTCCGCCCCCCTCAACTTGGCTCAGGTGGCGCCAGAGGCAAAACCAAGAGGTTCGTGGCGCCTAGAGAGCTCCTGTCCTCGTCGGACCTGCCAGATAGGACCTGGCCTTCGTGTCATTTTTCAGAAGAAAGAAAGGAGGCTTAGAGACGGGCGGTGACTGTCCGAGTCAGACAGCCAGGAAGGGGTTCCAGACTGGGGTTTTGATTTTTTTATTTCTCTACTAGAATTCGTGCAAGGGGCTCGGCCGGCCCTTGCAGCCCCGGCTTTGTCCGGAAGGTCGTCCGGGCTGCCCTTCTGCTGTTCGATCTGATTAACACATTAGCTCTTTACTATATAGGATTCTGCTGTCTCTCCGGGAACATTCGGGACCCCGGCATCCATGGCACCAAGTATTGAAATGCATCCCGTATAAACGATAAAGGGTTGTTGTAGTCTTGCATATTAAATATACGGACACCTCATTTCCCCCCTTTTATTGAGTCTATTGGGGTGACACTGCTTAACAAAACTATACAGGTTTCAGGTGCACAATTCCACAGCATGGACATCTCAGTTCATGGAAGATGGGCTGAGCGTCCTCAGCACGATTACTCGATTTGATTTGCATTTTCCCGTGTTGGAACCAGTAACGATCCCACCTCACCCAGGTCTTAAAAATATTTCTGGAGACCAGGACCGAAGGCTCAGACACGCGCCTCTGGAGGACAGGACAGGCCCTGGGTCCGCTCTCTTTTGGGAGAGGGTATCTCACAGCCAGATCTCCGTCCCGCC